GGGGGGGGCGTGAGGCGGTGCTGGCGGCAAGGGTGGGCATTGGCGGGCGAGGATAGGAGTGGGAGCGGCAGCAGCAGACTTGAGGCGGCAGGCAGGGAGGCGGCAGGCAGGGAGGGGGGAGAGGTGTCAGGGAGGGGAGCTTGGAGGTGTGTCAAGGAGGCGCCCGGTCGCGGGTTCCGATGACTCGCGAGACGTGAGGGGTGTGCGTGCGTGTGCGTGCGTGAGTGTGCGTGTGTGTGGCATGCACGTGCGAGAGCCACACCGCTTCTGCTGGCCCGTTCCCGGCGGCTCCACGCTGCCAGCGAGCGGGAGGGGTGTGGGCAGCAGCTGCGGCGGCGGCGGGAGGGGCGGCGGCGTTCTGGGCAGCAGCAGCTGCGGCGGCGGCGCGGGCACGGGCGGCGCCCCCGCGTATGGGCTGAGAAGATGCATCGCGCCCTCGCCAGCCTGCACCGGCTTCGGTGCGTCGCCCAACACGTTCACAGTTGGTGCGCAGTTGGCGCCCTGACAGCCGCGTGGGTGGCGGGGGCGAGTGTGGCGTGAGTGGTGGTGTGCTGTGAGCGCCGGGCAAAAAGAGGGTGGCCGCAGACCGTCATTGGAGAGCTCATGCGTGGAGGAGGACAGTATAACCGCGACAGGCAACTGCCGCCAAACAGAACACAAAAAACCCGCATCCGTATCCGGCAATCCCGAAGGCCGGGACCCATGCCGCGTTGGTGTCCAGTCCGAGCCTGGCTGTTCTTCAACCTACCTACCTAGCCAAGTGCTCCTCCTAGGCCATCAGAGAAGATCAGTTTGTGGGACACATTGAGTGTGTCACTCACTCACACACACACACACACACACAGAGACGTCTCTATGCGAGCGAGATGTCTGTGTGTTAGGTGCCTATATGGGCTTCCAGTATCGGACCTTCAAGCAAGACATGCGCTTTTGGCCGGTGGCCTCCTCGGACATTGGGCTCAACGAGGTTTTCCTCTCGCACCCCATCTGTTTTCCTTTCCTTTTTTCTCTACAGCACCCTCTCTTTTCCTCTCTATTTTCCCGTGGAAATCGTCAATTTTTTTTGCTCTGAGCCGAGTCTGAGGCTGGTTTGGGCCCAAAATCAGCCAAATTTTAGGCCAAATCGGCAAAATGCCGGGAATTTCGCGGAGAACCCGTGTATACCTGGAAATTACCCTGCGACCGCCTGGGTATTTTGTCGATTTCCTCAATTTTGCCTCAGATTTTGCCCCAGACCAGCTCTCAGACTCAGGGAAAACAGCGAGTTTCAGCAAGTGCTCCAGAATGGAGCACCAAACACCCTCTGTTTTCCCTGGAAATTTCCGGAAACGCAAAGTGCTGGGGACCCTCTGTTTTCCTTTTTGTTTTCCGGAAAACCTCGTTGAGCCCAACTCGGACATGGTTGGTACCTCCGGTGAGATAGTGGCTGCCAGTTCGTTCGAGACTGACTGGGTGGGGCCGATCGAACTTGACTTGTTCGGGGGAGGAGGAATCCGGCCAGCACCAAAGAGGGGTACCCGGAGAATCCCGAGATGCGGAAACGCAGTGTCCCTCAAGAGGTGCAACACTGCGGGGCAGTGTAAGGTGCCTATATGGGCTTCCAGTATCGGACCTTCAAGACATGCGCTTTTGGCCGGTGGCCTCCTCGGACACACTGTGTGTTGTGGTGGGGAAAAGGGTGTCATGTGCGGAGGAACGTGTCAGGCCGGCTTGCCTTTTGCTCTGTTTGTCGGCACGTGTTTGTTTTGTCGGTCGTCTGCTCAACCGTTACGCGTAGGAACTCCTACTCGTTACTTTTCCTCTTGCACCCCTCCCTTCTCTTTTTCTTTCATTTTTCTCGACCTTCTTCTCTTTGAAAATTTTGAACTTCGGTCATCAAGCTGAGATCTCGGGGAGATCTTGACTGTTTTTCTTTTACGCCCTTTTGTTATGAACTACGCAAGGCTTACAGTCAGTCGGTCAGTGTTACACACGTCCTATCACGGACGACGGGGCACACGCACTCGCGGAACACACGCGTCCATTCGGGCTTGTCTTCCCAAAAGAAGTCCTCCGTCCTCGTCGTCTTCGACGAGCCTCTTGAATGTGTTGCTGATGTTCGGTATTGTCGCGTATCTCTTAAGTGCCGGCCAGAAGATCCGCCCGAGGATCTTCGGCGCAGGGCGCCGTCACCGGCCCCATGAGCCGCCTGCGAGGCCATTCAGTGCTCATGTGGCACGGCCTGAGCAGGCCTAGCAATGCCTCGGGCCGACCGGCGCCCAGAATTGTTGGTGTTGGCCAGCAACGTGGTCGGCGAGTGCCGTCGTTGCATTGGTGGCGACCACCGCAGAAGCGGTCAGCAGGTGGGAAGGCATCGCTCTCTTTGTAAGGATATTGTCCGTATTCATTGTCTGGTCAATACTTCTGCCTGGATGGCACCTGTGTGCCCAACATGGCGACCCTCGGCCTCCCTCGTGAGTCCACACCTCACGCTGATCATTCTCGTCGCTAGCTCAAGCCGAGAAGTGGTCCACCGACACCAGGAGGAGCGGAACCATCATGGCTGCAGCCTCAGACTGACCGGGTTAGGTCATATTACCGGCGTGGTGGCCCAGAAGCGCGACATTTGCTGCCCGCAGAGAGCTAGCAGCCCACTCTCCGGCACGTCTGTGCGTCGTGCGGGGCTGAACTTCAGGCACGCTGCACGCGGCTTATCGTCGAGAAGAGCTCAACCCCGGCCAGTGAGTGATGGATCTGATCATAATCAATCCCTACTGTACTGGGGGGCTCTCAGATCAGCCGTTCAGAGCTCTGATATTGGTTCCCGGCAGAAGATCCTCCGGAGGATCTTCTGCCGTCGGCCAAAAAACCGTGTTCAAACGAGACACAATGACCCAACAATGACCCCCACGGCCAGCCTGGACATGCAGCCGACCCGGCCTGGCCAGCTGGGCCATCGAGGCGGCCACCATCGGCCGTAGGACCGCGCTGCGGTGCCGAAAGGGGCTGGAAGATCCGCCAGCGCCTCTTCGGCACTTAAGAGATAGCCACTCATCGTCCCAGAGCAGCGCGATGTAGAAGTACTGCCTGGGGCGGGGGGTACTCGAGTTCGCTCGCGGCGTGATTTATCGCAGAATGCTATGGCTCGCCGTTGCTGGCGGCGGCGGCCTCGCCGCGCCCCGCGCCACGCCCGCGCTGCTGGTGTGCCGCCGCGCTTGCGCGCCGCTCTGCGCCGAGCCGCTGCCAGCAACGGAGCGTCCGGCCGTTGCGCCGCCATCGTGCCAGCCGGTCGCCGCTCCTCACCCGGCCACGATAGCGCCCGAGGAGCTGCAGAAGGAGTGCGACGTGCGACACACGCGTGGCTCTGGCCCGGGCGGGCAACACCGCAACAAGGTGAGCACCGCCGTGGTGCTCACTCACCGGCCGACCCAGGTGTCCGCCTCTGCATCTGAGGAGCGCAGTCAGGCGCGGAACGTGGCAATTCCTAGATGCGGACTGGTCACGACGCGTCGGGGCGTTCTGCACAGACCTCGGCCCTCGTAGCTCCAACCGCTGGACGCAGTGCACGACAAGGCCTCAGCCCTCAGTCTTCCCCGTGCAGGCCGCCAACGCGCTGCAGCGCCTCCGCCTCCGCCTCGCTCTCGACATGCGAACCGACCCTCCGCCGACGGCGCCGAGCGGCCTCTGGAGGAGGCGAGATACAGCCGAGATACAGCCGAGATACAGCCGAGCCGGCTCTAGAGGAGGCGCGCGCGGTCGAATCGCGTCGTCAGTGAGCTCGATTAATGGGTTCGCGCGCGCCTAGAGAAGGCATCCCACTGATCAGAGATAGATTAATTAATTCGTTAATTCGTTCGCGGGCTCTGGAGGAGGCACCTTGCTGATCAGGCGCGCCAAGGGCGGCAAGATGTCCGTGAGCGACACCCACGCAGACCTGCCCGCGCTGCTGGCCGAGGCGACATCTCGCCGAGATCTCGCCGAGATCTCGCTCGCGCGATCTCGCCGAGATGCTCCTAGGCGCTCGACTGGGTGTGGACATTAATTAATTAATCAATTAATGCTCCTAGGCGCTCGACTGGGTGTGGACATTAATTAATCAATTAATGCTCCTAGGCGCTCGACTGGGTGTGGGCGATTGGAGACGTCAAGGGCGCTTCGGCGAGATCTAGCCGAGATCGAGCCGAGATCTAGCCGAGATCTCCGACGTCAACCGCCTCGGCGTGCCTCGGCGAGAAGCCCGCCACCGCTCACGCTCTAGACCCGCTGAGTACCCCGCGGTCTATGCGCCCGACTACTCAGGCGGCCCTCGGCGTGTCTAGCTCGCAGCTGGTGCGGCTGCTCGCCAAGGAGGCGGCGGCGCTGGAGCGGGTGAACAGGCTGCGCGCCAGCAAGGGCCTCGGGCCGCTGAGAAACAACCGCTGAAAGGCGTGGGCCACGCGAGGCCGAGAGGGGTAGTATACAGTCAAGAGTCATTTTGATTTTTGCATTTTGTCTTCATAAAAGTGTGAAGATAGAATAGAAAGAGAAGAACAGCCAGGCTTTTGGGGACTGGACACCAGCGCGGTATGGGTGGACGCAAGACGGGCGGTGACGGTCACACAGGCGCGACACACAGAACCAAGAATTTTATATGGCGGAAAGCGGAAAAGAAACACGAGGCCATCCTCGCCGCGCGTGGTTCTGGTTTCCGAGAACGCGGTCCAAATACAATACCCATATTTACGCCTACGCCCATCGCCGTCTCCTCTCGTCGCCGCAGCTGGCCAAGACATTTGTCTCGGGCGGTTCGCGCATCGCAACCGTTGGCAGCCCTGGCTGAGCAAGTGTCCCGCTATGGAGCTCCGCTGCTCCCTCTCACCACCTTCGGCTTCGCAATGCGAAGGGCTCCTCCGCCGCCCGCGCCGCCGCTGCCCCGCCCAAGCTCGGCTCTCCTTGCCAGCATCCGACCCCACGCCGGCGGTACCGGCGCGCAACCGTCCGCGACACCTTCTCGGTCTCCGCAAGTGGGCTGGCGTTAACGGCGGGGTCCTCGCCGTCGCTGCGCTGGTCTCGCAGGCAGACGCATGCGTGTATGCTCTCATGGGGTCGCGGTTTGCAGCCGCCCTTGTGGGAACCGTGCTTATGTACGCGCTTGCATTCTCATTTTGCGCCGCCAACCTCAGCGGCCGGCCCCGAGCGGCCGGGGACTCCGAGGCACGACGTAGACAAGACTAGCCAGGGGCACGTCCGCTGCCCGAGCACAACGCTTCCGGAACTCCGTCGTAGGCGAGCTTTCGCCCACTGGCTATCAATTCGTTGCTCTGGCATCCTCTCGGGTCGGCCTGTGAGAGGTGGATGCACGCGGCTTTGATCGCGCCGGGGCAGACCTCCCCGTCCGCACTGGGCGCTCTTCGGTTGGCGCCGCCCTTCAGCCAGGCTGCCGCCGCCTCGGCCGCCGCAGTCTCACCCTTCGGGTCGTCGACCCTCGGCCTCGCCGCCGCGTGCGTCGCGTGGTGGGCGACGCTAGCGTGCCGTCTCTTCCTCTTTGAGCTCGTTTTTGACGGCCTTTCGACGTGCGCATCGAGGACGCGTCCAGAACACCCCCGAAGAGCCGTCGCCGGAACGACCCGTAGGTTTCTTCTACGCCACGCACCGTGCGGCGCACTCGCGGCTGCTGTACCGCCGGGTGCACAAGCTGCACCACGCGCACACGCACGACGTGCGCCTCCTCTCCTCCCTGCAAATGAGCGCCGCAGACGTGGCAATCACGCACACGGCGCCGCTTCTCGCGGTGCGACGAGATCGCGCCGAGATTCGCCGAAATTGGCGCCAGAGCCAGTGCACGCTTCGTAAGCTGCCGGTGCTCGCTGCGAGAATGAGCTTCCACAGCCCTCGTCGTCCACGGCCCCTGTCGCGCGACCACCCTTCAACCGAGATTGTCCCACGGGCAGGCGGTTGCGCTGGTGCCGCTGTCGCCCGGCATCGAAATGTCAGTAGCGAAAAGCTACCTCCTCTTCCAGGCGAGGGCAGACCTCGGCCACCCTCGGCCACCTCCCTTTGTTTCATCACGGCCTCTCTCATTTCGCGCCATCGCTCTGCGGATGCATAGCTCGAGTCCCTCGCCCCAGGAGCTCTACGGACATGCGGGCGTGCGTCACCGCGGCCGAAACTTTGGGCCGCGCCGTGCACCTTCACCGCCGCCCCCGTGAGGCACGTCCGGACACCTCCGTAGCGCGCCGCATAGGCCGGCGCCGTTTGTTGCCGCGTGGCTCGGCATCGCTCTCACCTCCGAAGACCACCAGCGGCACCACATCAACGGCGAGTTGCAGCCACAATACATACGGCTTTAGCAACAACCACAGCCAGCACGCAGCAGCGGCGGCGCACATCGCACAGCCGCCACACCGGTCCTTCCTTTGAGCAGGGCAAGTCAACTTCTCCAAGCGCTTCTCGCTGTACGACAAGCTCCTCGGCACATGGAGTGGCGGCGGGGCGGGCGGGGCACGGAGCGCCTGAGCCCGCCTCGTAGTACACAAGTCTACGCGTATGTATACGAATACGGACCCGTACGGCTCTCTAATATCCGTTGGTGCAAGGCGGAAATAGACACTGTACAAACCGTTAATAAAGGACTACGTGAAAATCCTTTTGACCTAGCTAGCTACGAGGAACGACCCATCGTTGAGTCTTGGGAGCTGACAGCTGTCCCAAAATGAGATCCTGCCCTGACGCAATTGCCCTGACGTCGCTCGGAGGGACGTCGAGAGCTCGAGGAAGCATACACTGCTGTTCTCTCGCGAATCGTGTGACGCGCACAGTCGCAATCCATGCATGCATGCGGCGAGGGTGCTGGGGTCGCGTCCCCTCTCCGCCTCTCACCCTCGCGCGGCACTCACGCCCCACCAGGCGCCACCGGCGGCGGCATGTCGCCCGCCGGCTCGCCGCCCGCAGACGCGTCCATGAGCGCAGTGACGAGGGAGCCGAGGTCGATGGCGCATCCCACCTGCCGTCCAATCTCAACCCTCAATCGCCCACTCTCGCCGATTCCACTCCGCCGACGGCGCGCAGCCCGCCTGGCCGCTCGCCACCGCGCGGTCGGCCGCGTCGCCAGCGGCGGAGGCGGCGGCGGCGAGCGCCGCACGGAAGAGCGCCTGCACCTGGCAGAAGCGGTAGCAGCCCTTGCCCGCGTTGTTCGCGTCATCGAGCGGGTCGAGCACCTGTGTCGTGAGTGCGCCACAATCGGTGAGTGAGCGAAAAGGGCTGGAGAGACAAGTGAGTGCCGCCGAGTGAGTGTCGCCCTCGTGTGTGTCGGAGCACGGGTCTGTCGCGCTCCGCATCTACGCCTCAAGATGTGGGGAGATGTGGGGAGATGTGGGTCCGCCCCTCGCATCTATGGGGCGAGCACGAGCAGCGGCTGCAGCGCGAAGGTGGCCAGGCCGGGGGAGGAGGCGCGGCCCACCAACACCGCGACCGGCCGGCCGCCCTTTGCGGTCGACCAGCCGAGCGCGTGTGACTCCGGGTCGTACACGCAGCCGAAGAAGTGGAGGCACTCGAGCACCAGCTGCGAGAGGGGAGGCGGCGCCGGCGGGGCGGGCGGCGGCGCCGGCGGGGCGGGCGGCGGCGCGTCGGGCGCACACACGCCGACCTGCTGCTGCTGCTGCTGCTGCTGCTGCTGCTGCTGCTGCTGCTGCTGCTGCCGCTCGGAGCGGAGGCGCGGCGCGAGGAGGAGGAAGGAAGCGGCCATGAGGGTGAGGGCATACGAGGAGAGCCCGCCCGTGTACGTCGCCTTGAGGCCGTGCCGCCGCAGCAGCTCCTTGAGCAGCACGACCTGAGTGGAGGAGGGGAGGTGTGGCTTCTTCCTCCCATGGAGCGGCGCAGCGGCGAGCTGCTCTTGGGCAGTGTGTGTGTGTGCACCAGCGGCCGGAGGGGCGGGAGGCTCGAGGCAAGCCAGCGAACGAGCTGGGCGGCGGCGAGGCCTACGGGGGGGGATGGCTGGACGCGGTGAGGAAGGGGGCGTCCGCACAGAGCGGGACATGGCGGCGGGGGGGGCGAGGCCGGAGTGAAGCCGCGTCTGGAGAGAGAGGTCCAGCTTGAGTGGCGCCCCGCCGCCCGCCGCCGCAACCTATCATCAGACCACGCGCACGGTTTGGTGACTGGTGGGGCGCGGCTGCGGGAGCCGCCCAGCATCAACGCTGACTGACCACTATATATGTGTGTCTAGACCTCGAAGTTGAGGACGGGGACGGCGCAGCGCTGCAGGGTCGCAGCGAGACCGATCGCCTCGAGGCGCGGCTGCAGTGACTGCAGCGCCTCGACCTGGCCCTCGACGGACGGTGCTGCAGACCCGGCGGAGACAGGCAGACCGACGACCACCTGCCATCATCCCCTCTGGAGTGATCGGCAGCAGTGTGGCTGAGGGGGAGCATGCGGACCGACGGCCACCAAGTCGACGTCCGAGGCGGCGGAGGCGAGGCCGGTGGCGCGAGAGCCGTAGCAGAAGACGGCGGCTGCTGGGTGGACCGACGCCACGGCTGCCTGGATGCGGGATATGGGGGGATCTGGGGAGATGCGGGGAGATGTGGGGAGATTAGCCACGGCGGCCTGGATGCGGGAGCGAATCGCGCACGCGGGATGGTCGGCGGCGGCTGCGGCGGCGAGCTCGCCTGTGAGTGAAGGGGAATGGCACACTGAGAGGGTACTGTAGCGTGGGTGGACGCCTCTTGCGTGGTGAGCTCGCCGCGGACGGCGGCGAAGAGGGCGGTGTCCAGCAGCCGAACCGCCTCTTGCCGCAGCGGCGGGAAGGGATGCGCGGCAAAGTGGAGCTGGACCGAGGCCGGAGGCGGAGGCGGAGGCAACTGCTGCTGCCCTGCCCGCCGCCTCGGCTGCTGCCCCTCCCTCGCCACTCGGCGGGAGGAGGGGAGGGCGGCGGGCGGGCAGCCTGCGGCGGCGGCGGCGGCGCTGCGGGCATTCGGTGGCTCCGGGTAGCGGAGGCGGTTCCTCGCCTTCTTTTGCGACGGCTCGAGGGCGCGGTTGGCCTGCTGGGACAACGAGTCCAGTAATGCTATGCCAGTGAGTGGATGCGCCACGGGAGGGTCGAGGCGTGCCTGCGGTGGAGAGCGCTGCGCCGCCTGCCGCTTTGAGACGGAGGGTGGAGAGGAGAGGCGCCTCGCAACGGCGCAAGCGGGCGTCTCGGGCGGAGGGTACGCGGCCGTTTGGGAGCCCTCGTTCACGCTAGCCCCTCCCGCTGCCGCAGCAAGAGCCTCTTCCGCCGCCGCAGAGAGAGGGACCTCCCCCCCTCCTGCTGCTGCTGCCGCCGCCGCCGTTGCGCGCAGAGGCAGAGGCCGGGGCGGCGGAGCAGTCGGTGGGCTGAAGACAACGGCGGGCGGGATCGGCTCGGCCGGAAGCTCCGCCTTCCCGCGCGACGCCGTTCGCCTGCTCATCCGCCCACCTTCCCGGAGGTCGTCGGCGGCGGTGCGAATGGCAGGTAAAGCGAAGGAGGAGTCGGCAGGTAAACCGAAGGAGTCTGGCTCACCGGCGGCGGCGGGCGGTGGAGGAGGTGCAGGCTGCTCCGCTGCCAACGGTGTCGCAGGGAGAGGCGTCGGCGCCTCGCTCGCGCCTGCCCGCTGCACCACCGGTGTCTCGAGCGCCACACCAAACATGCGCGTGGCGAGCCCGGGCGTGGCGCGGGGACCGTCGGTGCTCTTGCGGACGATCTGTGCCCATGGCGTCTCGGGCTGCTCGTTCGTCCGATTGCTCTGCTCGTTTTCGTCGAGGATCATCGGGAGCAAGGGCAGCGGTGCACAGCACACAGCACAGCGAACTGAGACGCTCAAAATTCAACGTGAATGAAGAAAAACTTCCGCGATCACACAAGTCCGTGCTTTGGGACATTCTACACCGTGCCAGCATGTTGCCAGGCGCATGTTCGGCGCAGGCGACCAAGGATGATCAACGGCAATGAACAGGAAGAAATACGGCTCCGTCGAGGACCGGGCGCGCCCCTTACCCGGCGCGGCGTAGGTCCCACTCTGACGTATACTGGCTGTTCTTCACCTTACTACCTACCTACCTACGTATAGAGGGGAGGCATGGACGACGGCCCACTTCATCAATTCCACTCATCTTCTGGAGCCTAGCCCCATGCGGCGGCGGTCCGGCGGGCTGCCCCCAAGGCCCCCTGGGCCGCTGCGGGTTTTGGAGTTATGCTTTGGCACAGCTTCGGCGATGGCGGCCCCTCTCTGGGGCTTGCATAGGCGGGGAGTCTCCCCTGCTGGTCTCCTCATTCCCTTTTTTCTTTTTCTTTTGAGCAGGTGTGCCGCTGCGCGGCGCTCGCGCGGCGGCGTGCGTGCGTGCGTGTGTGTGTGGGGGGGTGGGGGGGGGGGGGGGGCTCGGGGGCCCCCGGGCCGGCTGCCAGGGCAAAGGCAACGGTCATCGGCTCGTCGAGGTGGGAGAAGGGGAGGGGGGATGGGCGGTCGGCGAGGGGGTCGTAGTGGGCTGGGCGTACGGGGTAGCCGCCACTTTCCTGCCTCACAAGGGCGGGGCTGTCCCGGAAAGTGAGAAACGCCGGGCAGCGTGGCGCACAACTTTACCCTCCCGTACGTGTTTGTTTCGCTCCTTTCCTCGGGCTGGCCAGCGCGTCGTCGCTGTGTCGGCGGGAAACGACCACAGCATCGCCATCACCGCCAACGGCGCCGTCTGGAGCTGGGGCGAGGGAAGCTGGGGCCAGCTGGGCCACGGCAACGAGGAGGAAGCAGCTGCTGCCCAAAAAGGTCGAGGCCTTGGCGGGGCGGCGCGTCGTCGCCGTGTCGGCTGGAGGCAGCTACAGCATCGCCATCACGGCCGATGGCGCCTTCTTTACCTGGGGCAAGGGCGAACATGGCTGTCTAGGCCACGGAGAGGACCTGTCGAACCAGCTGCTGCCCAAGAAGATCGAGGCGTGGGCGAGCCGTCCGCCCACGCCAGTCTCTTCTGACGGCAGCGATGAGGACGAGTAGCTGCAAGACGGCGGGATACTTGTTTGGTTCCTGTGTGTTGTGTATGTATGTATGTAGGAAGGTGAAGAACAGGTCAGGCTCGGACTGGCACCGACGCGGTATGGGTGGACGCTGGACAGATGATGACGACACGCACGAGCGACACACAGACACAAACAAGCTCACAAGACACACAGCCAGCGGGCTGCCCCACATCCTGAGTGGGCGTACACATCACTCTGTCAGGCCACGTCCCCCCACACTCGCCCCCCCCAGCACTCCAAGGTGCCAAGAGACAAACAACAGCACAACAACACAGACAGGCGACAGGGGCGAACGTGTGAGACTAGAGCAGGCTTGCTCCGCCTCTAGCAATCTCGTCGCCGGCCGCAAGGCACGGACGAGACCGTGTGTGGGGTCTTGTGAGGTGTCTATGGACGCCCTCCTCACAGGCTATTGGCCAGCCGCTAGCCCTAACTCGCACTCATGGGTGACGACAGTTCATTGGATGGTTGCGAGCAGAGGCGCGTGTGCTGAATCTAGATCGCACGCCGTGGCATATGACTTGGGTAGGCGTGCGACCGCAGCGCGCCCGCCGAAGGCTCGACCGGGCGCGCGTGTCAGCCAGAAGTTTGCCAGTAGAGCGATCCTGCTTCCTGGTCTTTCCGAAGACGAGCCCCGCGCCACGGGTGCCAGCCGTGCGTCCTCGGGAGCCGCCTCTCGAGCCGCGTTGTTGGTGGGGTGTGAAAAAAGTATTTTGCGTCGAGTGCCCGCCGTGCACGTCGGGTTCTGAACTGGGTCGGTCCAAGAGGCATGGACCACGAGTTCGGCTCCTCCGCTCTCTTTGACGGCGCCGTTGAGGACCCTTGCAAGCTCGCCGATGACGATCTAGTCTCCTGCTTCGGCTGGGCAGTCGGCGAGGCGACGCCGTCTTCGTCGCCGGGCGTTGGCGCCCCCTTCGGTGGTGGTGGAGGCGTGCAGTGCCCGCCGGGGCCCCACGGGGCGCAGCGGAACGTGGACGAGGTCCAGGCACAGCTGATGGCGGCGCATCACCGGCAGCAGAAGAAGCAGTACGTGCGTGACCTCGAGGACAAGGTGGGCGGCTGAGAAGAGGCGCTCTCGGCGCGTCCCTGTCCAGACCTTTCCTGGAGCCTCCCCACAGGTGAGCTTGCTCCAGGCGCAGCTCTGCCAGTCCTCGCGGCCGGCGGGTCGGTCAGGCCGCACCACGCCCTCCGCCACGTGCCTCCGACAACGGGCGGCCGCCGCCGCAGTTGCCGACGGAGTGGCCGCACAGCAGGCGGCGTCACACCTGCATCCCTCCTCACACCTCCGGCCCTTCACGGCCCCGCCTGCGGGCCGGCTGCTCGCACCGCCGCCTCCGTGCTCGATGAGCTCCCCATGGCGCGTCATTCTTTCTTCACGGGTTGACAGGCTTGCGTCGCCGCCTCTGTCCGCCCGGACAGCTCACAGACAGGAGGTCTGCGGCACTCCACCGGCTCTCCTCACACCTCCGCCTCCTCACAGCTCGAGGCGACAGCAGGCGGGCGGCAGTATCTGAAGCGGCAGCTCTCTTCGCAACTCGTCGATGGCGGAGACGGAACCAGGCCCGCATCTCCCGCTCGCATCTCGCCCAGATCTCGACCGCATCTCGCCCAGATCTTGACTCCTCTCCCGCCCGCATCTCCACGGCTCATGGCCCGTCGTGTCCGCCCCCGCACCTCCGGAGCAGGCGGCAGCCTCCCGCGGTGAGGAGGGCGGCGGCAGCGCCGAAGGGAGCCGGCGCCTCCCTGGCATGCGCAGGGGGGGCAGAGGCGGCCGCCACCTCGGCACTGCGACCGAGCGAGTCACCTAGGCGCGTCATATGGGGAGATATGGGGAGATATGGAGTCACGTAGGCGCGTCATACACAGATATGTCATACACGTATATGTCGCGGCTGGCGGGCCGAAGGGCGATCGGTCCATTCGCCATGAGCAGCATCCGGTCTGTGGCAGGCTCCTCGAGGCTGGCGGCGGGGGCGAGCGTGGCGTCGATGCACCCGGACGGGGCTCTCGCGCCGTCGGCTACGGATGCGTGGAATCTGGTCAGTCTATCCGACCGCCGAGGAGGCAATGCAACGCGGGGGCACTGACGGGGAATGGACTGATGCACAGGTCAGCTCTTCGGACCGCGCAGTCGCCCGCGCCGCCGCCGTCGCCGCCGCCGCCGCCGCGCCCCGTCCTTCGATGGCGCAGGGAGGGCGGGGGCGGGCGGCGGCGGGGAGGCGAGGTGTGCAGGCGTGTGCTGCAGCCAGCCAGCTGCCCGCCCCCACATTGGGGGGTGGTGTGTGTGTGGTGTGTGTGTGTGGTGTGTGTGTTGAGTCGTGCGCAAACCTGTGCTACGCAGGCGGGCGGGGAGGCGGTGCTGCGGCAGGGGGGAGGGGTGAGGAGGCCGCAGGCGGCGGCGCCGCAGTGCGCAGGTTCGCCCGCCCGCGAGAGAGAGCAGTCACCAGTCCTTCTTCCTGGCGCTCTTCTCTGTCTAGTGAGTGCTAGCCGGTGGCTCTGACGCAGGCTCGGCGTACGGCATGGAGCAGAGCTACCAGTACTACCACCGAGGCGAGAGATATGGGGAGATATGGGGAGATATGGAGCAGAGCTACCAGTAACTACCACCGAGGCGAGGGGTGGCCGAGAGGTGGCCGAGAGATGGCCGAGAGACAGCACCGAGGCGGCCGCGCCGCTAGGGAGGCTGCTCTGTCGGAAGCTGACGAGCCGTGCTCGAGTGCTCCCCCCCCAGGCGGCTGCGCGGTGCCGCCGCACTTTGAGGCGTCGGTGCCGCTGCCACTCTACGGGGGAGGAGGTGCCTAGACACGTCCTAGACACTCCCTAGACACTTTTGTGCTGCCGGTGCCCCCCCCCCCCCCCCCCCCTACCCCCCCCCCCTTGTGACGTCCCCCGTCGCCTAACTGACGCCGGACGAACGGCCCGTCCTTCGGGTGGACTCTAGGCGGCGCGTGCGGCGCGTGCGGCGCGTGCGGCGCGTGCGGCATGCCACCGAGCTGCGGCGTCTGCGCGGGGCAGGTCGCTGACCAGGGCAGCCGCACCATCCTCGTCCAACCTCGCTCCCGCCCGCAACTGCTATTGTGGTACTGTCAGGTGGGCGGCCAGGCGGGTGCCGTGCCGGGCCTCTTGCAGCACGGGCAGATGCCCGCACCGCGCCCGCCGCCGATGCGGCAGCCGGCGGTACGCCGCCGCACCGCCCGCTGCCGTTGCCGCTCTACGACGCTCGCTTCAGTGTCGTATGGCTGTTCTGTCTGTCAGGGGAGGCCGTACCAGCCGCACCCCTACAGCCAGCCGCCTGCCGACTGCTCGCACGGCTGGCCGGGCCCGCCGCCGCCGAACGGCGCGCCAATAGTAGCTGTAGCAGAAGCAGTAGTAGTAGTAGGAGGAGGAGCAGAAGCAGTAGCAGCAGCAGCAACAGTAGTTGGTAGCCGTAGTAGTAATAGTGGAGGAGGAGGAGGAGGAGGAGGAGGAGGAGGAGGAGGAGGAGGAGGAGGAGGAGGTGGTGGTGGTGGTGGTGGTGGTGGTGGTGGGTCGGACCCGACGCCGAACGGCGCACCAACGTGGCCGAGGCCTACCTTAAGGTAAGCTGAGATGTAGCCTAGACATAGAACGGCGCACCATGCCGCCGCACCGCACTGGTACCCCCTGACCCAAGGATCGAGGAGCCTCGTCCTCGCATCAGGCGCCCCGGTGCCGCCGCTGCGGCGCGCCTCTTCCGACGCGAACGGGCGCGGGAGTGGCCGAGAGTGGCAGAGAGAGGCCAGCCGAGAGGAGGGGAGAGGCTGCAGCGGTCGGCCAGCTGGGTGCGATTTGCACGGCAGGTTCGGGGGCGAGGTGGCGGGCGGCGCGGAGCGGCACGCGGTCGTATCATGCGCCGGGTCAGAGATGCCCTACGGCCCGCCGCCACCGCCGTCGCAGCAGCAGCAGCAGCAGCAGCAGCAGCAGCAGCAGCAGCAGCAGCTACTGCTGCAGCAGTACGCTCCGGCCGACGCGACGGCGGGCGCTCCTCCTCCTCCGCGATGCCGAAACGCTGAGGCGAGTCGAGAGACGGCGACGCTGATTGGCGGGGCGCTCTTTCCTTTCATGCCGTCTGGTTGTGAACGGAGCCGTTTGCTGGCAGGTGAACGTTCTTGTCGAGCGGTTCCTAGCCAACCGGCGACGGAGGCAAGAGACAGCGCACGCCACACGAGACGGCAATCTCGGGCAATCTCGGGTAATCTCGGGTAATCTCGACGAAGGCAAGAGACAGTGGACGCCCATCTGGACGAGGCGAGAAGAGCAGCTCTACGAAGAGCTACACACACACACACACACACACACACACACACACACACACACACACACACACACACACACACACACACACACACACACACACAATCCTCTCTCCCACAGGGCTGCGAAGAGCTTCACACATACACCTCTCTCTCACAAGCGACAGGCACGACACTACGAAGCACGACACGCCAAGGCAGCCGTCGCTCATCCTCCGACCCCACAGAGATTACCCGAGATTACGCGAGATTACCCGCCCCACAGGTGGAGGACGAGATTACCCGAGATTACCCGAGATTACCCGAGATTACCCGCCCCACAGGTGGAGGACGCGATCGGCGACGGCGACCCGGCGCAGTTTGCCTTTTGGAGCATCGACCGGCCGGAGCAGGCGGCGCCCAGGAGCGAGGCTGTGAGGCAGTGTTTCAGTACCAACAGCGAATTCGTCCATCAACCATCAGGCGCCGGACGGAGCCCGAGGGCGTGATTCATAGTTTTAATGATTACTGATGAGTGCGTGAATCGAGCCTCAGGCGCCGGACGAGCCCGAGGCTCGCGTGCTGAGGGCACTCGCCGACGAGATTGGTATCTCGGCGCAGCAGCTCGGCTCGCTCTCGCGCCACCGCGCGGCGATCCGCGCACAGCAGGCGGCGCTGCAGCGCTGCCACGCGCTGCTAGCAAGGGCCCGCGCGCAGGTAGTTGAGCCGAGGGTTAGGGATAGGGTTGGGGTTAGAGTTGGGGCTAATTAATCAGGAATAATTACCTACTCAATCAATAATTACTCGCAGGTCCACGAGCACGTCAGCGCCTCCGCCGCGATCATGCTCGAGTTGCGCCAGATCCTGTCGCCGCTCCAGGCCTCGGGGCGGCTCCTCGTCGAGATGCGGCGAGATGCGGCGAGGTGAGCCGAGGGTTGTTGCTCCCACAGGTCGCAAAGTTCCTCGTCTGGGTCGACAGGACCGCCGACTCCCTCCGCCGCACGTCGCCCACGGCCAGGTCCAGGACACGTCCATGACATGTCCGAGACATGTCCGACAGGCGGGCACGTCTCAGGTCGACCGCGGCCGAGTCTAAACCCACTGTCGACGGGTCGTTGGCCGGTGTCAGGCACTCCGACTCCGTCCGTCTGCTCACTCACGCGCGCGAGGGGGGCGGGCGGGGGGGCGGCCGCGGCGGCCGCGGCGAGCGGCACGGGCGGACCACGAGCAGCCACGGCGAGGCTATGTCGCGCCGTCTCTCTGAGTGATGCACCAATCGGTGAACCAGCCAAGTGACTCGTAGGCAACGGCGTGGCGCAGCTCCCCTCTTCCTCCTCCTACGCCCCCTCCTGCTCCTACGCCCCCCCTTCCGCATCCGCCGTGCTCCCGGCGGCGGCGGCGGCGCCGGCGCAGGATCCGCCCGACGCCGCTCACCGACTAGTCGGTGCTCGTCAAGGAGTCGATACCTGACCTAGGCGCCCGAGCCGCCCGCGCCGTCTCCAGTACGGAGATGTACCATCGTGTCTCATCGGTGTTGTTGTCTTTCTTCTTAGGTGCCCGAGCCGCCCACCGCATCTCGTGATGCGTCGAGCACGGCGTCTACCGCTTCCGCGTGCTCCGCCGCCCTCTCTTCGCCGCTCGAGGCCCACTGCCCACCTCTCCGCCCCCCCTCTACCCTAACCCTAACCCTAACCCTAACCCTAACCACTGCCCACCTCTCCGCCCCCCCTCTACCCTAACCCTAACCCTAACCCTAACCCTAACCACTGCCCACCTCTCCGCCCACCCTCTACCCTAACCCTAACCCTAACCCTAACCCTAACCCTAACCCTAACCCTAACCACTGCCCACCTCTCCGCCCCCCCTCCGCCCAGCACTTTCGGGCCCATCTCGCATCTCGCCCCCACCCCAAGCCGCAGCCCCCGGGCTCGCTTCTCTTCGCCGCACGAGGGCGGGCGAGGCAAGGGGAGGGAAGCCAACACTTCTACACACAGGCGGGCGAGGCGGCCGGGCGCGACGACGACGCGCCGCAGCGTCTCGCCCCCCGCGCCGGGTGCGTGGCAGCGCCGGCGGAGGGGGGAGGCGGCGGCGGCAGCGACGGCGCAGCTCAAGCTGCGTTCGAGGGCGGGGCGGCGGCGGCGGCCTACCCAGATGTCGCCGTTAAGCTCGAGGAGAGGTGAAGGGAGTTGAAGCGTTGCCGGGCAAGGCAGGGGAGGAGGAGCGGGGTGGCGGAGCAGGCGAAGGGGGGGGGGGGGGGGTGGCGTTGACTCGCGTACTGCAATCGCATGGTTCTTCGGTGGCCGCGACAGACTAATATCGCTTGTGAATCAGAGGCAGCTCGGGTGGGCCTTGTTCGGGGAGTATAGCGTCTGAGGGTTGGATGTACCTCGGACACATGGGGACATGGTTTGAACACCTCTGTTGGTGTGTCTGTCGTCAGGTGCGGATACCCGATATACACACGATACAGTGGGCATATTTTGTATCGGCCTGAGCTGTAATCGCTCGTACACGAGAACTTTGGTGTGGAGACACGGCTCTCTATCCTCTAGATCGATAATCGAACGTGTGCTGCGACCTTCCTGCGTCGTGCGTGTGCGCGCGTGAGTCGCGTGCGCAGCGCACGCTCCCTGGGGACAACCAGGCTGGACAGAACAAAATAAAACATTGAACTTCCTGGTTCGTGATCGATGCTCATCTGAAAGTGGACACAAAAAATGTTCGGCCCTAACGTCGAATCTCATCTCGCGATCTCCCGGGGAGTGTTCCTCTCGACGGACCCTGGGTCGTGGGCTATCGCTTATAGACGTGAATAGGGCCAAGATGAGGTTGCATCCTACTACTACTACCGCTTTCCGGAGATAGCCGCCTGCAGCTGCTCCCAGCGAGGCTCGGTCAGCAGTTCCTCCGTGTTGACGCTACATAGCGTCGTGTTGAGCGCGCGGACCTGTTTTCATAGCTGGATATGTGATCGGATGCCTTTAGCCGCTGCAAAGCGTCGTGGGGAGCGTGCGGACCACAACGTCGTGCAGCGGTTCCATGGGGTCTTCCCACCCAGGCAGCAGCGTATTCTCCGCCCGGACGGTCTTTTTGAGCATCACCTGGAGACGCGCAACCGGCAACTCAAGGGGGCACGGCGAGTGCCATCTGAGCGTGCCAGGACACCCAGCGTGCAGGGTGGGCTGAGTCGGGAAGCGGGCGCGAAGCGGAGTGGGGCGGGAGTTGAGAGAGTAGACTCGCGCCTGCGCCCGCTCCTTGTCGAGGCAGCGCATCGGGATTTTCGCGGCCCACTGCGTGTCATATGCGTCCAGCCGTTCCCGCACCAGCTTAGGGGTCGCGCCGCTGTCTAGGAGGCCCGTATTGAAAGCAGCGGCGGAGATGTCGCGCACTGCATTCTCGTTGGGCGCGCGAACGTTATTTTTAGCCTCCGCCGCGGCGTTGACAATCGATTGGCAGCCGTTCTGCGCGCAGGTGTGCTTGAGGTTCAAGTCGGCGCATGCATCGCAAAAGAAGGTTCCCACCTAGTCTCGGCGATCGTTCGGTAAAATTCGCCAATCTCGAAGTGGTCGGGGTCGCGCACGTCGATTCACACCAGCCCGCAGTGGGTCGCCGTGTCGTGGAGGTTGAGGATCTTGAGCTTGGCGGCGGGGAACGACTTGTCATAGCGGTTTCGCAGGGGCAGTGCATTAATTCTGTCAAAAATCCAAATCTGCTCCGTGGAACTTATTGGGCTAGGATCATACGTCCGGGAGGCCCCCCTTGCGTGCCGTAACGATCGACAGTGCTGGTACCACTCTCTTCACGTTCACAGGTCGAATCAGGACCATAACTCCGATACAGGCGGTAGTCCTGAGCCTCACAGACCCTCGGTCGCATTGCAAACCACCGCGGCGCCTGCTCGAAAACCGGGCCTACCACCGGCACCGGCGGCGCCTGCTCGAAAACCGGGCCTACCACCGCTCTCTCTGCCTACCAACGCTCGAAAACCACCCTCTCTCTGCCGACCACCGCTGTGATCACTCGTCAATACTGACCCGCTCGTCAAATACACACCGCGCTCTCGTCTCTCGCCACGTTTCGTCGGTCGAGCCAGCTCTCACGCTTTGCCCGTCCGGCCTCGCGGCAACTGCTGTCACAGCCAGTCCCACCGTCGCCGTGGCAGCACACTGGGCAGACCACTGACCGTCATACCTGGCTACTACCCAACTTCTTCCTCTGCCTCATGTGCGGCGTCCACGCGTACCGCCATTACTCCCGTGGCAAGACGGTGCCGGCAGCGGCCGTTCACCACCTTCTGCGAGTTTGCGTGATGGAGCTCCATGAGCGGCACCATCACGGGCACTCGCGCTGGCACAACATCCAAGCGAGCCTGTTGCAGTGAGCATGAAGGTAGAAAGGCGGGTGAGCATGAGACCGGCTGTCTCGAGTGTGTCTGGACAGGAACTGTGTCATTGCGTGCTCTCTCGTGTCACGGGATTCAAGCAAAAAAAGATAACTGACTCTATGACTATGTCTTGTGTCTCCTTTTACCAGGGTGACGGCGGGTCCCGGGAACCATCAACCAACTTGCAACTAACTACGACAGCGGGAAAGCCGCCTACAGCATAACACACTAGCGCGCGCTCTAACGTACTAACGGGACCTTTGTCCATTACCCTCGACGTCCACGACAGGACAAGTCGCCAAAGAATACTTGTACACGCGCGCGACACCATGCCTTAGGCGGCTCTCACTGGTGTACGAAGCGCGGGTAAGCAGACACTCTCAAGAGGGGCGGCGCGCGGGCGTAGCAACCCGCGCCAACCGTATCTGCGGTGTCTCTCCCGACGTGTAGGTCTGCACGTATTCAACATATCCACAGCCTCCAGTCGAGCATGCTCTGCGGCATCGCCTCTGCAATATCAACGCGACTGCGGGCGATGAGCGGTGTGGGCCTCTCCACGTCCTCAAATATCGCAACGGACGACAAAGGTGGTGCCGCCAGACGCAAAGGTGGCGAGCATGAGCGAGTCGCCCAGCGCCTGCTCTCGGCGGGGCGGCGTGTGGGCCAGACATCTCGGCCACGTATGTCGCTGTTGGCTGTTCATCTCTCGGCTTGCACCGCGGCTTATCTCGGCTAAATCTCACCAGGTTGGAGGCCGGGTCGTACGGTGCTGCCTCGCAAGTAGGGCTGCCGGGGGACGAGGGAGGCGGCGGCGACGGCGAGGCGGACGGAGGCGGCGGCGACGGCGAGGCGGACGGAGGCGGCGGCGACGGCGACGCGGACGGAGGCGGCGGCGACGGCGAGGCGGACGGAGGCGGCGGCGACGGCGACGCGGACGGAGGCGGCGGCGACGGCGACGCGGACGGAGGCGGCGGCGACGGCGACGCGGACGGAGGCGGAGGGGTCGGCGCGGCCACGCTGACGACGGTGATCTTCGCGTTCATGCGTGAGTGCGGCCCGCAGAAGTAGGGGAAGTCCCCCGGCGCGGCGAAGGTGTGCGAGAAGCTCGCCTCGTCGACGAGCCTATCGAGGGGGGGGGGGGGGGATGAGAAAGACGCTGCTCCCGCTGCGGGAAAGAGGCGATGTCGCGGGGTGCCATGCAGACGAAAAGAGGTTGTCGTGCGTCCGGTTGGCGCCTGGGGCACGGCGGCGAGCGAGCGGCGTGGGCGGGGGCGCGAATGGCAGGCGCTCGCGGCGGCAACTGGCCGCAGCCTCGCGTGTGCAGGGTCTCGGTCCATCTCGCTCTCTCGGCCGGGAGGGGTGGCAGTGGCGCGCCGCTCAGCACGTTGTGGCCCGACGCGACCCACGTGACGGTCTCGCCGGCGCGGATGGTGAGCGAGGCGACGTCACAGAAGCCGCCCGCGGGGACGTCGCACTCGAACCCCCAACGGATGACGTGAGAGCCCGGGAGAGCGGGTGCGGCCGAGCGAGGTGGCGGCGGGGA